CTCTGCCTCATGTGGCTGGGCCTCACCCCTTCGCCCAGTTCCACCCAGCCATGGACCGCAGCGTAGCGGCACCCCCTCGGCCAGAAATCATCTATGCTGAGCGTTTGACAGCTGAACGGCTCCATGCCGAAAGGATGGCCTCTGTTGCTGCTGGTGACCCTGTTGCACGGCTACAGATGCTCAATGTTACACCACACCACCACCAGCACTCACATATACACTCCCATCTTCATCTGCACCAACAGGACCCTCTCAACCAAGGTGAGAACTTCTCTAGATCACATTTTTTTCAAGAAAGTAAATGGAAATGTCAATGTATTTGTCTTTCAGGCCAAGGGCCTCATCCTCTGGTGGACCCATTGGCTGCTGGCCCCCCTCTGGCACGATTCCCCTACCCACCTGGTGCCATCTCCAACCCCCTACTCAGTGAGTTACCCCATGAGCATGAAATGCTCCGCCACCCTCTGTTTGGTGAGTCACCAAATAGACTCCCTGTTTCACTTTTAGGATAAAAGAAAGTTCAGAGTTAAGCCCCGTTCACACCAAGAGCGATAACTATTGGCGCTTTTCCACTGCGTGGTACGACTCGGCTCGGTACGGCTCAGTACGGTACGGCACGGTTCGGCACGGCACGGTTTGCGTTTCCACTGTAGTTCAGTACCGCTTTAGAGTGGGCGGGATTATTCACATGTCGTTATAGTTGCGCCGCCTCTACTACCACGACTCCTAAAGAAAACTTTTTCATTCCGTGTCGCCCCATCAAGCTCTCACTGAATCCGCTCCTCTGCTATCAACGAGAGGAACGTCTGTTCTTCCGCAACAGACAACAAAACTTTTTGGTTGTTAAAAAAGGTGCGCTCGTTCAAAACAGTTGCGTTCGATCCTTCGCTGGCTGTGCTGATTTAAAATTTGTGTCGCAAGTTCAGTGACGCAGGTAGTGACGATTCTGTCTGGCCAATCCGTGATCAGCAGAGTTTACACGTCACGTTTTGGTAACGGTACGGTTCACTTGGAACCCCAACCAAGGTGGTACTAAAAAAAGTACCAGGTACCAGGTACTGTACCCAGTGGAAAACCCCCAAAAAGTGA